CCCCAAAACCCCAAAACCCCAAAACCCCATAGTCTCAAATTTTTAGGAAAAAAATAATACAAAAATGAAAGTATTTTTGTAAGATCAGGATGCTTTCACTTATTTAATTAAGCCTCAATTAAATATCTAATTTAACTTCAACTAAAAACATTTAAATTGAATCCAAGTAAATGCTTCTACTCAAAAATCTTCCAAAATCTTCTAATTTACTCTTGACTCAGGCTTTAAACTAAGAAGAAGGGGAAACATGTACACGTCCAAGAAGAATAAAGCTCTTGCAATTAATTAAAACAAGCGAAAGTAATGAAATACAGTAAAAGAACATAACTTGTGATAATTCAATAAACAGAAGCGTAGTTAAAGAATTGAAACAATAAATATTAATATAGAGATAATAAGATTAAATATAGTAATAATCTAAATCATTAAAGTAAACATCCCTCAAACTCATGTTCTAAAAATCTTCATTATCTAAGTCAAAGACCATCCTTACTCAGAATTAGAAGCAGGTTGTCTAATTGAAGCAAGAGGCGAGAATTGGCTCTGATACTACAGAAGCTACTGATGTCAGTGATACAGAAATGGATATTTAATCATGCTTGTAAAATTTTCCAGATAAATATTTAAAATCTTCAAAAATCCTGGGTAAACGTACAAATAATGCAATGGTTAGTGAAGAGTAAAACTCTTAGATTTCAAAAGATTTGCCCAAGAAGAGGGATATAAAGAATTAAAGTAAGTAAGTCAGTCATTCTAGCTTGACCATTATCTGAATGAGGAGGTGTTTTAGATTGGGAGAATTTGATTTCATTGTTGATTGAATACTTAAATCATAAGACAGAAGATTGTACATAATAAATATTTAATTATAAATATTTAAACTCAATTTCTGTTTAAACATTAGTCATTAAATGGCATCTGCTGATAGCAGGACTATAAGTATGAGAATTATAAGATTTTAATGCTAATTATGATCAAATAAAATCAGTCATTTTGATATGATTACTACTTTCATCATTCATTCCCCATCAATTCCTTGTCTTCATCATATGCTATCATTTTTAGGAATTCCTTTCTGCCAAAGGAAGCTAGTAGATAAATTCCTAATTATGCTGGTAAAATATAAAGTAATGCAGGCTAAGCAGTTTTGAGTAATTACATAGCAGAATAAGTCATTGCAAGGCCAATAAAAAATCCAATAAGAGAAGCATTAAAATAAAAGCATCCCATCTCTTTATCTATAAAAGGAAGTAACTTCTCCTTCTCTTTTACACCTTCCTCAACTGCTTTTTCTCTGCCTCTATTAAATGCATTAATTAGATCGCATCTAATGCACATTGAAGCAAATAATCCTGGAATTATTATATCTCCTAAGCCTATCATAGCAAATGATTTCATGGCTTAATCAGCAGGCACTAATAACTTTAAGGGCAATTCAATTCCCTATGCTACAGTCATCATAACGTCAGAGTGAAATACAAAATACGTGTCATAAGCAATGAGTCCTAAAAACACGATTAAAATATTCCTGAAATTTCCAACGAGCCAATTCTCAATGGCATGCACTGCGAAGCACATAGCAATTATATTATTTGCTACAAAGAATCTGCTTTAGAGATAAAGATATTAGAAGTAAATTGCAACTGCAAGGCAGACCAGTTCAAGTAAAGTCATGTTTAGTCTAAATAACTGCATTCTTTGCAAAAATTCCAAATGGTAATCGTATGCCTGAAGTCCTGTAGAAGTTTTAAAATACTCATATATGTATTTCTTCAGAATTAAAGCACCAATTAAAGAGAAATAAGCTACAATGAGGTTATTTATGATGCTCCACTTTTGAACAATTGCAAAATAAGCCAGAACTAAAGTAAGAGTAGCTATAATTGGAATACTCAAGGCATTTTTTAAGCTTAGAAGCTAATTTTCATTCGAGAGTGTAGCCTAATCAGATTTCTTTTCCTAGAACTGGTATTTCTAGAGACTTCTAGTTGCGCCAATATAAATGCAGACCATTGAATAATAAAACACTTAGAATGAGGTATCTATGAATATATAATTCTGCATAATTGTCAAAACGAATAATGAGTAAAGTAAGTAGAAATTGATCTGTTTGAAAGAGTCAAATAGTTCCATTGTTTTCCTAGTAATAATAATATAGCAATATTTATTTCTTGTTATCATCTCTTAGTGTTAGCGGGGTTTTGGGGTTTTGGGGTTTTGGGGTTTTGGGG